TTAGGAAAAACCCCAAACCTTTTGTGCAGAATAAATACCTGACATACTGAGTTTTCTACCACTAGAAAATGATTGTTGGGGTTATTACATGGGTCCTGACTGTGGCAAAGAGATTAGCAGTTAAGTCAGTGGTTTTTTACCATGAGACAATATCTGCCAATCATTATCAAAAGAGAAGTAATCTGCAATAGTAGTACTCCAAAAAAGAGGAAAATAGTAATTTCTAATTATTATTCAACTCATTGACTGCTTAATTCCAAAGCACATTTTGTTCAAAAGATAAATCTAGCCATGCTGTCAGATTACACTTGCTTTTGGGCTGAGGGAGAGGCTGATCCCTGAGGATTTCCTGCCAGTCCCCGCTGTGATGCTGGAGGAAGAGTAGCCACCCCCCCTCTGCATTGAGTACACTCACTGATGGAAGAAAGGGCAGAGGTAGCTGCAAGCATCTCAGGGCGTTATGCATGCACATATATAAAGTACTTCTAAGTCCCCACAGCGACAATGTTCAATTCTTTCTTACTCTGATGATTTGGATATTAATTTGCTTCCTGCAATTGTTTAATGTGTATATGCAGCCTATGGGGTTTTTTTTCCTTCCCCTTTGCATGTGATGTGCCAGCAAAGGAAGACAGTAATAGTCTCCCGGGATATGTACAGCTCTGTTCATGTCTGAGGTACGAAGTCAACTCAGGACCATTTTGTTCTCATAAAATATACAGCACTGCAGTTCAATGGATAATGGCATAAATACCAGGATTTGATGGGCAGAACCATTTTCACTGGGAGATGAAAAACACTATGAGGACTCGGTGCTGGATGGGAGATACATAAAACCATATAGAAGCAGGATCTCATGTGCTATGGGGGTAGTGATTTTGCCTTATCTGAGTGTGCTAATACCTGTCACACTTTGCTATTACCAAATAGTAATATATATCAGTTTTTTTAAAGTACTAATGAGGAAGCTAATGGATTTTGCAAAAAGTACTTCCACTCCTTTAGATGTGTTCTATAAAGGTAGAACATTTTTTTGTACTGCTTTGGGTGATAAAAAGATGGTTTCCCTTCAGGTCAGCAGGAGCTGACTACATTTGCTTCTGAGTGCATTCGTCTGGAGGGCTGCTGGGCATCTCCAATTTCACTGCACTGGGGAAAATTATACAGGAACGTTGGGGCTTCAGATTATGCTCAGGGTGTTCTTTGCTCTGAACTTGGACAGAAAACTTTGCAGGAGGGGGGAAAAAACCGAGGAAAAATTGCTGAAGCTGAAGACTCTTTGAGTTGTCTGTATGGAAACTAAAAAAACAAGCTGCCTGGCTGCTCCACTGGTTGCAGGTGTCTGTCTGAGAGCCCAGCCATATGTCAGGAACTTCAGTGCCCTTGAGTCGAACCGTAAGGATGAATTGGACAGATTTGTTGATGTGCACAGAGTAGGAAATGACCAAAAAAGGAGCGTTCTTTAACAAGTAATTACCAAGGGCTTTCCTTTTGCCTTCACTGAAATACAGGTGAGAATCCTGCATAGGATTTGAAGCCCGAGCTAAGATGGCTTGGTGCCGCCCAAGGGCTGTGTTGTACGGGAGCGGGGAGCGTGTGTGCGCCCAGGCTGTTCCAGGTGCGCGGGGAAGGCTGCCTGCCTCCCCGCTGGGGAAACCCCGGCCCCGCTCCTGCTTTTGACAGCTCCGCCGCGGCTCTGCTGTGAATTACTATTTTAATGAATATTACATAATTCTCGGATTCGGCTCTTTCAACTCCTAAATCTTCAAACCCCGTTTATTCTATTGTTTAAGCAATAGAGGGTATTTCAGCATCTTTTTCCCTGGCAAAACTAGCGCATTTCAAATTATTCTAAAATTACCCGCACTTTTGAAGGACTAATTTGCGTCTGTCCACGGAACGCAGTCATAGACGAGTCCAGCCAGGCCCGCCGAGGGCGACGGTATAATTATAATTAGTGGAAACGGGTTTATTTTGCTCCAGCTTGGAAAACCGTGGAGCGTGTAGCACTGGGGAACAGAGCGAGGGCTGGGGGGGGCGGCCCCCGCCTGAGGCGGTGTGGAGGAAGAGCAGGGGGAGGAAAGGGGGAAATAGCCCCAACCTACGCAGCGCTGTTTTTTTATTATTATTATTTTTCGCCCTTTCCCCGGCGTGGGGGCGGTTTCCCGCCGGCGGGGCCCGCGGGTCCCTCCCGGCCGCGCATCCCGCAGTGCCGCGCCGCCGCTGCGGAGGCGGGCGGGGAGGGAGGGACGGGGCGGGCGCGGGGGGCGGGCGGAGGCAGGCGGCGGGCAGGGCGGGCAGGGGGAGCCGGGCTGCGCGCAGGCAGGGCAGGGCAGGGCCGGGGCGAGCCGGGCCGAGCAGCGCCGCCGCCGCCCGCCGTGCCCGAGCATGTCGGCGCGGGAGGCGGTGACCTACCTGCCGGAGAAGGGGCTGTACTGCCAGCGCCTGCCCGGCCGCCGGGCCCGCGGGGCGCCGCCGCCGCCGCGCAAGGGGAAGCGCGCCGACACCATGGGCTTCTACGGCACCCTCAAGATGATCTTCTACAAAGTGAGTGGCCGCCCGCCCCCCGCCCCGCACCCGGCCCGCGGCCGCGGAGGGCGGGGGGGAGGCGGGAGGGGCGGGCGGGGGCCGCGGTGTCCGCGGAGGGCGGCGGTGCGCGGGCGGGGACGTGCCGGCGGCGGGGGGCTGCCGCCCGGCCGTAGCTGCAGTCAGCGCGCTGCCGGTGAGCGCTGCCAGCGCTGGGTGGCGGGCGGTGATGCGGAATGCAGTTTGCTGCCCCTTCTTTTATTTATTTTTTTTATTATTATTTTTTACCATACGGCGATCTCGGTTATTTCGGTAATTAATGTTGTCTGAAGGAGTTGTGTTTTCCTAGCGACAGATTAAATATTTTAGAGGGATGTTTGCTCGACGGTTTCTGTTTTTCGGTTACACAGAGACCTTGCTAGTGTCTGAATCTTGTCACTAGACCACTCTGCTGTAGAGAAAGTTTTATCTTCTTCGTATGGTAAAAGGCCTTTTTGACCCTGTATTTACTTAGCACCTTTTGAGATGCTGAAAGTCAGTCTGTGTGGTGGACCCCATGTGAAAGTTGCCTAAAATACCTGAAAAAAACACGACCAAAAGAAACAGGTGGAATCATTATTAGGCAACATAATGCATATTGTTTTCTTTGCTAATGCAGAAGAGTAAATCACTAGAGCTGATTATTCTATTGCAGCCTTCCTACTTTTTATTTTTAAGGTGTACTTCTGGAAGCAGAAAAGGAATATGATGATGATAACCTCTCAGAGAGGCAAGATGGAAATAAAAATTTTCCTTGAACAAGAAAAATCCTTTCTGAAAAGTCTATCATCAAATGCTGATATTCGTGCTCAAACATCTTATTTATGCTTCCAGTAATTTTGATGGCTCACCTATCTAGCACAATGATAAAAGATGGTATCTACTGTTTTTCAGTGATGCTTACAACTGGTTTTCTTGGGGGAAGCACTCACGGGGGGTTGCGCCTCCTGGGGCATGGGGAAGGAGTGAGGGTGAGGTTGGTGGTTCGGCAGAATGCAGGGCGGTTCTGGCTGAATACTTTTGTGGTGAAATGCTGTGGAGTGTCCCATGTGAGGCATGGGCAAGAAAACACTGCTATAAAGTAAGCTCTTCTGCTTGCGTTGTAACTGTTACTGTAAAGATATAACTAGGTAACCTTAGTTAGCTTTCCTTTGTAATCGCTAATGAAGCAGACCACAAGATCTTCAGTGACTGTTTTTAGGTAAAGCCATAAAGGTATAAAAACCAAAATCACAACAAAATTACGTGGACCATAAGCTTTAAAGAATCCTGCTGGGTTTGAGGTGTTTTGTTTTAGGTAGCTTCGGCAGATACAGTAAACGGTTAAATAACTGTGTTATAATATAACATTAAAAAAGATCAAATCAGTTGTGTAAGAAAGATGACAACTTTTAAACTGTATCTTAAACATGAAATTTTGGAAAAAAAAGGAAGCAATTGGTTATAGTAAGTCTGAATTGTAATACAAGTAGTTTATGTATTTTGCAGCCCACAGTTGTAAACAGCAGTAAACATTATTCAGTTGGCTTCAGTGCTTTGGTGTATCACATCTCAAAAAAAAAAAAAAAACCCAACAAAAACTCAGAAGTTGCATTTGGCATATGTATGTCTCACTGAGTCCAAAAGCCTGTGGTTAAAGATTACCCAAATATGTAGAAAGTAATCTTTATTTGTCTGCCTGGATAAATATGGCTTTCACTGGTTTCCATCTCTTTGGTAATTTTTGCAGTCTGGCTTCCCCTTTTAGCAGCTGCCCTGCTCATTATTTGGTTTTGATCATATCTAATTGCAGATGACATTCAAGACTAGGGTGTAGCATTTTTCATTCTTACCCTTCTTGGAAAAATACTGGTTAATCAGTCAGTTTTACTGCAGCTTTATAAATATTTTCAATGTACAAATTTAAAATAAAAGGATAGACAAAAGAAAAGATACAGTCTTTTTTTTTTTTTCAGGCCCTAAAATAAATATACTTTATAGTGCAGACAAGCTACCTAAAATTTAACCATTTCCATGAGAGACTTAGCAATGAACCTGAACACAAAGAATTAAGGGCTTTAGTTTAGTTCTTTTGCTCCTTTCCTGGGAGAATAGTCAGGGAACAGTTTAGTAAATAAACTAACACACTTCTGCACACTTTTTCACATTTGAAATTTGGAAATAAAAAGAATGTAATTACAATAGATTTTGGACCCTATTAAACAGCAATAATACATACATGCACCCTATAAAACATGTATCAAATATTGTTGAATCTAGAAACTAAAATGCTGCTTTAAATCATTTTGTGAGCGTCAACTTTGTTGAAATCTGGTATTAAATTAAAGTATATTAAAGTAGAAGGTAAAAATGTATAAATTTTACAGAAGTACACATAAGTAAGGCTGGTCATGTAACTAAATCCATGTTGTTACTCTTTTTCCCTCACCTTGCAGATGAAGAGAAAGTTGGACCATGGCTCCGAGGTCCGTTCTTTCTCTCTGGGAAAGAAACCCTGCAAAGTCTCAGAATACACAAGGTAATTAAATGCAATAACAGAACACTGGATCCTGATTCCTGCATATATCCTGTCTTTCCAATTGCTGAGCCTGATTAATTAAGGTCCTCTTAAAACACTGTAAAGCAAAGAAGAGGTGGTATCAGCATTTATATATTGCTTTGCTAATTTAAATTATGTGAACTGAAGATGAGTTTTAATGAAGTAGCCAGACTTACATTTCTTTGGTTGAGGTTTGTATTTCGTTCTAAATATAGCATGCCCATTTACTTAGAGACTTTTTGAGGGGTGAAGCATTCCTGGTAATAAAATCAATCTGATTTTTAAAAAGGGACGTAATGATAAACCCCAAGACTCTCACAAACTGGGATCAAATGTATCACTTTGCTATGGTAACAGGAATGAGAGAGTGGAAATTTATGTAGGCAGAGCAGACCATCTGATCTTAACAGGAACACATGCATACTTGTTATCCACTTATGGGTTCTAGTCTGCTTCCTTGCTACTCCTGAATGGTACCATATCTCTTACCTGCTGCTTTTCCAGTCAGTGGCTTTGTGGGGTAAAGCATTCCTGACCATGAGCAGGAGTAGTGGACATAACAATTGTGCTTGGATGTCACACTGCTTCCCATCCTTTTTGAATTTTACATTTTTTCCCCATAATAAGCATCGTCCCTCCCAAAAGCATTGCACTTGCCTCCCAAGGCTGTGTGGAAATAGTACTTCTTTTGAACATGGTATAATAGTGTTCAGTCACTGATGGCTCTTTCAAAAGTAATTTATATTTTATTTCTCTTCTTTAAGAGGTTTATCAGGTGATGAGTGAAAAGTTAGGAAACAAGTCACAGGACTGCTTTGCAGATGTGTAAATGCTGCAGTAGATTAAAGGAGGCAATGTGTTTTTGCTGAGAAGCATGTGTTGCAGCTTCCACATTCCCCCAAGTCTCAAGGTGGTGTATTCTCCCAGTTTCTAAGTCGGGCTAATGGAAGAACTCTCTTGTTGGCCACCATTTCTTCAGGTGACACGCCGTTCTCTACACTTCCAGAAGAGTAAACAGTTCAGCAACAAAGAAACCACTTCTTTGTCAAGTGTGTGTGTCAGATTCAGAGGAACTGCTGGACTTGTCCAGCTTCCACAGAAACCTAACTGATTGTTTCGGGAGAATGTTTTGGGAAGATTAAAGCATGAACAAGTATCTTGTGATACAAACTCAGATCAAAGGAAAGAGGCTTTTAGATTCTGTTTAGTATAACTATTTTTGACTGAAAACCAGTTTACAGCAGAAGAAAGTAAAGCGTAACTGTTTTACTGGGGCAAGCTCAAGGCTACATATTGCTCAGATCCAATAAAAGCTAATTTCAAGTGCCTTACTTTGGACCTTGAATGATAGGCCTTGTGCTGGATCTCTGTGCAGGTGATGAGAATGAGTAAGCTGTAATACCGCATTTTATTTTAAAAATACTTTTAACTTATGTTCCTTGTATTTTGAGTCATTATTGGCATACAAAAATCCCTAAGTAACATCCTATCCTCCCTCTCCTAATTATTTGATTTTATTTTATCTAAATAATATTTAAGCAAATTATGCAGTTCTCGTACCTGCTTGTTTCCATTTTCCCTACGATCAACAAATGCCATTAAGAGGATCCTTCATCTCTGAAACAGTATTTTTATATCAGTTTCTGTTTCTGTTATTACTCAGCAAAATGAACATTTAAAAATATGCCTGCTCAAACCGATCTTTAGTTTCTTGACCAGTTTGGGTAAATGTTAGGACATGCTATAGTTGTCCTTCAGAATAAGGAAGAGTAGAGTGAAATATTTGTAGAGCATAATGAGGTAAATATTAAAATGAACTTGCCTTGCATCATTTAAAGCTATCCTGTAGCCACTGAAAAACCAGTAAAACCTATAAGCTCATACCTTCAAAAAAGCTGGATTTATCCTACACAAAAGCAAAGGGTTCTTTGGAGTCTTACACTGTATTTAAAATTTTCATGCTTATGCAAATACTACCAGCATTCTGTATTTCCTGCTAGGGAATACAAATTTGGTATTCTGTGAACGAAGTACTTTACATTATGTAAAAAAAACCAACCAAAAACCCACAAAAAAACCTCAAACCCCCAAAAAACCCCAAACCAGAAAACACAGTCAGCTGTATTTCTTTAGACTCCCACAACAGCAGCTTAATCCCAGCTCTTTTAAAAGCTCCATCCCATATGAATGAGCTGGTTTTTAACATGTCAGAGTGAAAAAATCACACTAATTCAGAGAGCACCTTTGGCTTCTTTTCCCTTTTCACCTCACCCCCCACCCCTTTAATTCCTCTGTCATTCTATCAACACGCAAACTTTAAAAGACTGTATACAGTATTTCAAAGCCCAGTTCTAGATCACTAAGCCACTAGAACTGCTTGATATTATTAGATCTTTGTCAACAAAATATATTAAGAGCTAAAAATAGATACTTTTTTTTTCTTTCTGTTTGAGGATAAAGCAGCACTAGTACATTTCACATACAGGTGAGACTCTGAGCTCTGGCTTCCTACAGCCCCAGTCAGAAGGCACCAGTGGAGCCCAGAAGGAAAAGAAGTACCCTGGCAAGGGAAGGAATATATAAACCTGAGTTTTTGTAGGCAACCTGCTGGCCAATTAACAGAGTGGTAATTTTTCAGCCCTGAAAGGTGATCCCCATTTCTCCCCAAGCTGGAGGGTTAGCACTGCAGTGATAGAAGCAAGCAGATTTATCCAAGTGAGGGACTGACCTCTTGAGTGACCAGCAGCACAATTTTTCATATTAATGCTTTTGCATGAAGCTAAAGAGTTTAATTAATAGTTGCAAATTATGTACTAGATTTTTTTTGTTCTGCAATAGACTTCTGAATTTTTCTTAATGTTTGATGTATGACTGTCACTTTTTATTTGTATCGTAGTACTACGGGGCTGGTGCCATGTTCCGCCACACCTACTACTTTTGGGGACCTGAGGGCAGCCAATGGCCAGGGACAGCAGCGTCGCCGCATTACATCTGTGCAGCCACCATCAGGCCTTCAGGAATGGCTGAAAATGTTTCAGGTAACCAGTGCTTAGAGAAAGGAACATCTGAAGCAGCTAACCCCCATGGTTCAAGTAGGAGATTGCTTCGGCAGAGTCAGTCCTCCTTATACATCCAGAATGCCTCTGCCATTGATTTTGTGTTCTGTTGCAGAAACAAATGGGCATCAACTTTAAGGAATTGTTGGTCCCTGTTTCAGCAAGTTACTGTAGAGACTGATAAAAAATAACGGCTTTCGCTGGTTTCTTAATAAAATAACCCTTCCTGTTTAGTGCTTTCATATTTTCTGCCAAGTCTGTCAACATGTAATGGCTACGTTCATGGCCTCAAGCTAACTTGAGACGTTTTCACTCGAGACTAGTAAGCTTTAGTGCATGCTTTGCTTCAGTGCAGGTATAACACTAGATTTGTCATAAGTCTGGTGTCTTCTAAGAATAGAAAAAAAAGTTTATCAAAAATAGATTAAAAGGAAACTCAGTATTTTTACTGATCTTTGTGTACTGAACATGTCAGGCAGTACATGCACACATAGTCAAAGGGAGGGAGGGAAAAGGTTTTTTGTATTTTTTCAACCACCTTCAATAGCACCTAAAAAAAAACTTAACCCCACACTTGCTCAGGTCAAAACTGAAATCTGCCTGGACACTAGTCTGAGAGCACCTAAGCCAATTCTGTGTGTGTTAATACAAACACAATTTGGGGCAGGCCTCTGATCTTGTTCCTCAGCTGTATCATGGAGATCTCTACTGTACATTTTGCTCTGTATTTTTAAGAAGCAGGCATGAGTCCTAGTCATTGATTTGAAAAATGGAAATATTATATCTTCCTATCTTGATTAAAAAACCGTTACTTCTAAAAACATTTTCAAAAGGAGTAAGTAAGTAACAAATACAGGCATTGTTTCAATTACTGTAACAGGCAAAAATAGAAGAGTAATAGACAGTAGCTAGCATACAATTTTGCAGGCAGAAACCTGCTTTTGACTTGATTCATGCTGCCACATAATACCATTGATCTCAATCACTGTCAGTTCTGCACATTAAAATAATAATGTAGAACCTCTTTCCTCTTTATTTTTACGCATTTATGATCTGCTTAAACCAGTGGAAGTTTGAAATTAAGGTTCTTGTACACATCATTCAGTTTCTTAAGAATATTCACAATTAATTACTATGGTGTATCTTTTTTGAGACTGTTCATAGAAATATGTCTTTTTAACCCCTAAGAATCATATTTGAATGGTACTTTGTATATATGGTAATGTAATACTACATTGTAATGTTAAAACGCTGGTGCTAACAAAAGCTATTTTGTTATGAACAATGTACAACATGTATTTTCACATAAGATTGATAGTTATCGATAGTTACATATTTTAAAAAAAAAGATTATGAAAGGCTGGAATGTTTGAGACAGTGATGCAGACTAAAAGCAAATGCTATCGACTGTTTCATCAGGATAAGGAAAAGTAGTCTGTAAGCCTGTGAAAATTTTGTCTGTGTAGGCAAACATACAGTTTGTAATGTAGAAAACGTGCTTTACTAAGTGTATAATTAAATACTTCAACTTTTCAAAATACTTAGTTGCAATACTAAATGCCTAAATACTGATTTATACTATTGAAAGAGCGGCGGGGAGGGTGGTCTCTCTTAACTGGAGATCATTGAGTAGCACTTATTGATCACATCTTGTCACTGATAGTTTTTATTGTATTCACAAAAGGGAGTCCCTTATTTTAGAATCAAAAGCTTTCTAAGTCACATAGCTCTATCTCAGTGTTACATCTGCTTGCCTCCTCATTTTCTATGTGCTTATTTTTCACATGAGTTTCACGAAAGGGGTGAGTCTTAAATAGCCAAATGATGAAAGCACATTCATAGGGGAGGTAGCTCTGCCCAAAGGGCAGGATTAAATGGCACAAGCAGCATCATCCTTGCAGTACAAAGTTTTTCCTGTAGAGAAACAGGAATGAGAGAGCTTTCTTCATGTACTGTATACTGACTAGGCTTACTTAATAGCACTCATATTTTATATCAAAATATTATTTCCAATTAATTTGAAAGCTAAATTTCCAGGGGCATGTTAGGTGGACATATGTACTGTTTCAAGGTAGAACTATTCTTTGGCATAGCAGCTGTCAGTGACCAGTGATTATCAGTTATTTTGAGGACTCTCACCTGTAGTTAGCCTTCAGTTCTTCTCCTATGTTATCTTTTCAGATAAAACAAGACCACTCTGCAAATATTAAGAAAACTTAAGATGGCCTATAATTTTTTTTTAATTCATTTTTTATATGTTCTTCCTACTGTTATGTTTTATAGTTGATCTAAGCCTTTTATTTTGAAAGTAACAAAATAATGCAGAAGGGAGAAACAATTGTGTAGTTGCACTTGCCCTTTAAAAATAAAGCTGTATATTGATTTTGATGAAGAAAAGCATTTTAATAAATCCAAACCATTTAATTTCTTAAAGGCCCATTTATTCTTTCTGGTTTGCAGTGGCTCTTGGCTTCAGGTCTTTTTAAAATCCACTATAGGAGTTTTTTAAAACTCAATGCCCAAGTGTATCTTTACAAAGAAGTTTTATTTTTAAGTTACCAAATTGCTTGCCATAAGGAAAAATATCAATTGGATGCTAAGTTCAGTCAGAGATGGTATTGCTTAAAAAATTACTAACCTCTCTCTTTCATCATTCTTCCTACTTCACATACTTTGGGTGTTTTGTTTAAGTAATGTGTAAAAAAATTGCATTTTCATGGAATATTGATGTTGAAAAGTTGTTCCATACACACTAATATAGGCAATCACTTTGAATAACAAGTATGTGCAGTTATTTTACCTAAAATTGGAAGTGTTTTTTTTCACAGCAGTTTAGATAATGTCCAAAATGCTTTTGCCATTTTTGGCTGCCAAGAGCCCTGTTCCATTTTTTTACACAAATAGTTGGCTGAGCCACCTAAATTCAAATTACTTACCATTCTCCATTTCTTATTTTTCCAAAGACGCTTGGGAATGAAAAAATGTACAACTGCATAGTCCACATCTTATGTGAAGCAGGTGGTAAAGATTGTATCATAACCAGCATTGCAGCATTTTCTGCTCTGTGTCTTGTGGTGGGACTAGGTCAAGGGTTTGGTGTTTCTTTCCTATACACCGACTGGGAGAGATCTACACTTTGACTACAGACCCTTCTTGGCTGTAGTACTGTTATCAGTTTGTTTCAGAGGTATAGTGCAGACTTACAGCAGGTCTCCTGACCATCCTGGCTTATTTTTTATTGATTTGACTCTCATGGCAGTTTTGTTACCTACGAACTCAACTGATTTCAGAAGAAACTCCTATGTTATCAAACCCTTAGCAGGGATGTAGAGTCTGAACCTGTTACAGCTCCTCTAGACAGGGTCCATCACATGTACCACAAATGTTCAGCCCAGGGGACCAGACTGGGGATTGGGACTCTGATATGGGTTAATGTGGGGGCTTTAGCACCAGCTGCTCCTGAATCCCTGCTGGTGTGACAAACTGCTTGCTAATGTAGATGGTGTTTCTTTCAGTGCTTATGTGCTATTTTTATCCAGACTGAGATACCTTTGAGGTGGGGGATGGCAGGGTTCTCGATAACTGATCCAAGAGTTGAACAGAAGCAGGCTCCAAGAAGAGCCCTTCCTGCAAGTCTTCATCCTGACAGACCTCTGTTAACAGAACTTAGTAATGGAGAACAGCACCGTGAATTTAAACCCTTTAAAATAGATTGTCCTGAATGTAACTATTACAGCAAAAGGATTGCTACAAACTGGAATTGTACAAATTGAAGGCAACAGATGAGGTCTGAGCAATAGAAAAGCATAGGCCATGAAAGAGTAGAGGTGCAGAAACAGATGATGATAAAAAGAAAGGTGGCAGGTCAGGCAGGACAGATGAGATGGAAGTTGTAAAATAGCAAAGGTGTTGTTTATATTGATTATAAGAAAGGGAAGACATTTCCACACAATAACAAAGTGGGGAAAGAAGGGATAGTTTTCAGGTAGGTAGTGCCATGGTTGCATCAGCTGTAATACTGAGTGAGGAAATGGTATGAACCAGCCAAAAGGCCTTGGCTGACAAATCAACGCCTTTCTGAAGAAATAGGAAGAAAGAGGAGGTATGTTTGTTTAGGAATCTGAAGTCACTCAAAGGACAGTATCAGTAGGCCTTGCTGGCTTCCCAATGGTTATGTGAATGAATCCTGGAGTTAACCTATTCTAGGGAGACCCTGCCCGTAATAAAAGCTTTATTTTAATTTTACATTAAAATTAAATTCAAGTTAAGAAGATAAGAAAAGCCAATTAAGCAATAGCTTTTTAAAGATAAAGTATATTCTTTATAAGGATCTTCAATTTGAAAGGGAATCGCCAGGTAGAAATCCAAGGCATCTGGACACTACACCACATGACTCAGAAGTCTCCAGTCATCTACAGCATTTGAAACTTTGCAAGCTACTTGGCAAGCATTTACTTTTTCTTTCTCTTCTGCAACATTTGTTCACTGTTGTTTCTTATCAAAGACACAAACTTACTCCTTACACTCTCCACCTAATGAACTACATGCAATGTTTTTGCAAATGGATTAAACTACAGGGCGCAGAAACAGAGTTTAGTAGTCTTGCCTTTGTTAACACAAACAGTTGTGTTCATCTGGCAAGGCTTCATCCCAGTTTTCCATGTCAGACACTTCCTTCAGAGACCCTTTACCAGCTGTAGCTGGAGGTTTGTTTGCTCAAGCGAAAGACTAAGGGGACAGTGTCCTAGAGACAACATTTTGTAGCAGCTGATTGCTTTAAAAAAGCCTTAAGAAGCTGCCTGTACCCATCCCCTAATGATGAATGGACAGATAAAAGAGAGTGCTGCTTTTAGTCATTAGCATCTCTTTCCCATTCTTGAATCTTGTCCCTTTTCTCTTCAGATCTGTATTATGTTTTAAAAATCAAATAAGTGTAAGAGAGTTACAGATTAAGATAGCGTACAGTGACATTATTAATCAATAACCTGTTGGTAACTGCCAGCAGCATTTGCCACAGCAGCAAACAATGCTCCTCAGGTGGAGTTGTTCTAATTTAGTAAACATAGCTGCTTATAAATTAAAAGTAGACTGCCCTTGGAAATTTAGATTATAAGGAAGTAACAAAGGTCTTACTTTCCCTCTTTTTAATTCTCCTAAATTCAAACACAGCTGACAGATGAGATTAAAGACTGCAAACGTTTGTACCTAACACCAGCTAAGCTCTGGGTTGGTGAAACAAACAGCAGTTGGAAAGTTGGTGAGATAAACAGTTCTTCAGTGCATGATTTATGGAGAACTGCTATGTGATGCAACTGTTTCTACTGAAAGAAATTTATAATAAAAGCTGTTTACAACAGCACTGCTGCAGCTTCAGCTGAGACATTCCTGTTTCTTTTTAATATTCTGAGGTATTGGATATGAGACACAGAAATCCTCATCTCCCGTGGTGACACTCTACATACACACAGGTGGATGGGGAATATTTTTTTTGCCAGTTTAGTCTATTTTACCAATTGCCAATAGTGCATGGAAAGGCTCAGGTCAGGAACTTTCTTCCCCTCCTCCAGTAGGATAGACTGTCCCAGGCAATCAGCAGTAGGACAGGAGGGCATGGCCTTAAGCTGCGCCAGGGGAGGTTTAGGTTAGATATTAGGAAGAAATTCTTTACAGAGAGGGTAATCAGCCATTGGAATGGGCTGCCCAGGGAAGTGGTGGATTCTCCGTCCCTGGAGGTTTTTAAGATGAGGCTGGACGTGGCACTTAGTGCTATGGTCTAGTAACTGTGGTGGTAGTGGATCAAGGGTTGGACTTGATGATCTCAGAGGTCCTTTCCAACCCGTCTGATTCTATGATTCTATGATTCTATGATCAGCCACGCGTTTGCTGTAGAGTGAGAGCGTGGAACTGGGGTGAATGAGCTGCTGCACATGGGCTGCTCTCACACTTCCTGATGGAATGGGGTCACCTGAAAGTTCCCTGGGTCATCGTTTGGATAAATGATGCTTTTATTGACATTTCAAGTATTTTGACATTTTAATTAGGGAGAAATGATGCAACATGATGATCTTTCTACATCGAGTAAAGCTGGGTATTTATCTGCTTTGCATTCGCTTTCAGAAATTCCACCTTCCTCTTCACTTGCCTCATTGTTCTGCAGAAACTGCACAGTATACAAACATTGTAGTATTGCGGAGACCGGAGTGAATTGTCAGAGTCAAATCCAGAGAACAGAAATTTAGAGCATGAGTAATAATGGTCCTGAGATACATGGCAGATTAATACAGAAATCTTAATTGTAAGGTATCTTGCCTTTTTTTTTTTAATTTCAGTTAGCCTCTTACCGTAACTGTAATATCATTTGTATGTGCTAATTTACTTGTAAGTGTCACTCTAGAAGACATTCGAGATTATGAATGTGAATCTGCTCTCAAAAACTGTGATGTCTCATTTTCTCTCTAAGGCTTTATTCGTGCTCTAATTCTGTTGCTAAATTAGTTAGCAGTAGTTGTTTTTTCCTGTAGAAATTATATTTTCTTTAAATTGTTTTCACATAACAAATCAAAACTCTTTGATGAGCACAGATGAGTTTAAGACATGTTTTTCAGATGTGCAGTATATTTTAAGTTATTAATTTTTTTTCTACAAGTGATGCTCCTAATCTGCTATGCTCTCAATCGAGTGCCTTATTAAAATCTTCAAACTTTATGGTGCCCATTAGTAAAAATGTGAAGTAAGAAAATTACCAATCAAAATTCCCTGTTTATTCAAGTGTAAATTGATACTTATAAAATATGTGTTGGTTTATAGCCAGGATTCTGAAATTACAACATTGTCGCTTAGGGACACACTGTAGTAATAAGCAGGCAGTAAGCAAATGTACTTTTAGAGAAAGTTTTTTATTTTCCTTTCCTCTCATTTCAAGATTTGGGTCTACCACATGAAACATGAAGGTTAGAAGTTACCATCTCAGTTGAATGCACAATGGAGAAAGACAGAGAGGGAACGCATTCTGTTGCAACCCCGTCGTTCTCTGTAACGTGTGTGTAGATTTCATCAACTTCAAAAGAAGCTTAATTAATTTAATTATTATTACTAAATATTATTATCTATTTAATTGCCAATCTGTATGTGTGCATATAACAAATCCTTTCTTAGCTTATGAATCAGTGTAGTAATTTTGAATATTTTGTGTTGATTAACTCCTCATTTTTGTGTCATTAGCATGAGCATTTATCTCTTGGCTTTTTATATGCTTGTATATAGGTCGATGAGCAAACTTAATTTGCCTTATTGGCAAAGCAATGGCACTTACTGATGTAAACCAAACTAGTGTGTTAAACTAAGCTTACTGTTTCTTTCTTCTTCTTTCTTTGCAGAGCTGGAGTGGACCAGAGAAGTTACTTGCTTTAGATGAACTCATTGATAGTTGTGAACCAACACAAGTAAAACACATGATGCAAGTGATAGAGCCCCAGTTTCAAAGAGACTTCATTTCCTTGCTCCCAAAAGAGGTGAGAAAAAAAGGTTCATACTGGATTATGCAGCGTGCTGGCTGCCATCTTTAAAAACTTAATGCTGATTTTGCCAGCGTAGTGATGTAAACTGATGTTAGAGGGTCACAATTTGGTACGCTGCCATAACATGGCTAATGTAATTTCAGGTTACCGTACCTCTGTCTCTTGATAATCATTCAGATACCTGGAAATACAGATGACCCTTTTAAGCAAAATCCCAGTAGCTTTAAAAATATCTCTGTATCTTAATTGGGCCAATTTAGCTATTTTTTTTTTTGAGAACTAATTCTGTTAGGGCAACACACACAAAAATTTCCTCTGGATGTAAGACCTCTCTGCACATTATTCTGTAAGTGTAAGCATTATTTTTTAATCCTTTTAGTGGTGGGAGTTTTGTTAATGTTATCTTTGAATTTATTTTAAGCAAGTGGAGCTGTAATATCTCTACCAAATAAACCAAAAGTAAAACCAGAAAAGCACTTGCTAAGGATAAAGCCAAGCCGTAATTAAGCAGGCATGTTACAGTAAATCCTTTACTGCAAATCAGATCATGTTGTATCAGGTTAAATAGAAAGTAAGATTTAGATTTCAGTGTGTGTAACTAAATGCTGTCCACAGAAGAGTAATTCGTGATGTCCTCACAACTAGAACATGAGGGTGGATATGAAAGAATGTAAACCCAGTTTTTTGCAGTTATTAAATAAATGTATTTTAGTTAATTTAGAAATGATACTTCTGACCTTGATTGATTTTAGGGACTTCGAAATGTTTGTTATTTGGAGGGGGGAGGAAATCTTATTTTCTTTTGCCAGATCTACCATATGTTGGGTTTTCTATATGAAAATTTTCATGAGCGCTTAAGTGTTTGTAAGTCTTAGGTACTAACACTGTACAAAACAAGTTCTTTTAAGATATTTGGGTGCTAATATTTGGTTGCTGTGTTAACATGGTCTTATTAGCTGAAGACTGTTTCATATCTCTGTTTCTTGACATTCTTTTCTGGTGTATATCCGATTTTTGAATACTTAGATGTACAAGACCCTTCTTTCTGTTTATATACTGTCATATCTTCACATGTCAGGAAGTGTCACAGCCTTCCCTTGCTGGCTGGCATTTGTAAGGGTTGGAATCAATTTATGCAATGAGTATTAACTTAGTACACAGGACATGAGATTAGTATTTACAGAAGCACTTTCTGCAGCAGCCTTCTTCGGGAATGGAAAGGACACTGGGGCAGGAGAAGAGTTCAATAGGACCTCTGCGTGGTTGCCATGTTTCTAAGAAGCTACCCAAAGCAGCCTTAGTTCAGAGGCCAAGAAAGACAGAAAGACTTTGTATTTTGGGGAGACATAAGATACTTTGCAACTTCTATTGATAACAGGAACTCACAGATCAGTTCTCTTTGCATGATTTTGTGGCAGTACTAATTCAAATACAACCAGTGGTCTAGTTACACTGTAACTAAAGATCATCAACTTTCACAATTTCTTCACAAAAAAGATACACTATATAGCAGTAAAATTTTCTTTCTCACTCAGGTTTCTTAACTCCATTGTAAACTACTCATGTTAATTTGTTTATTTTTAGTAGGTTTCTTGCCTCTTGAAACCAGAATATTGTAAGTGCTTCATGACAGGCTGACTTCACCAGTGAAGTTGGCTTAAATAATTTTTGCTTCCTAACCCCGAGTCACTGTCACCAAAATTAACTGGGTTAAAAAAACTGTCGAGCTGACTCCACCATCTCCTCTCCTTTTCCTTCACCCAGATCTCCTAAGCGGCGCTGTCCTCAGCTGTTTAATGCTGGCTGCAGTGGGGGGTGACGCACTGAGCTGAGGGGCACGAACAAGTTGTTAGGGTCAGTAATTCTGTGAGCAGGCTTCCCTACCGAAGAGAACACGCTCCCTTGAGTTGTCGCTCCGCGTTAACATCTGTAGTTATCTCCAGTGCTGTTGGATGCAATGCAGTGATTTTATGACTGAACCAGAACAAGAAGATGATGTGGATGGGAGGGCTTTGCTTCAAAACCATTTTCTTCAATGCAAAGACAGTAACATAATAGCCAAATAACCAAGAAAATGTTTACTTTCCTCCTAAGGAAACATGCGGTCAAACAATTAATCTGAAATATATACTCCTGTTTTCTTGCTGAGACTTTAGAAATAATTATTCAGGTTACTTATTTGTGAAAATGAGGTCTAGAAACCAACAGATGAGGAGTGTTGCTGAAATCAGCCATAGAAATTTTGTTGGTTCCATGTGTGTGAGTGAAGAAAAAGGCAAGAGACTGCTTACTGTTGGGTGTTAACACAAGAGCAGAGAGTAGTCCTAAATCCAGTTCAGTCAGAGGTCAGATCCTTGCTACCTGAAGTTTTCTTACAACTAGATCCATGAGCTGAGACAAAGGGACGTCATCTTTTATGCACTACTAATCTTAAAGTCAGCTGTAGACTGTGTTGACCCTTGATGACTATTTAGATAAATATAGTCTAAAATAAATGTTACCCATATGTAACCTGGTTTAGAATCGGTTGGCTCATGGGTTTAATTAACACCATCTTAAGCAAGTGTCTGTATCTGTAGAGTGATATTTAAACAAACTCTGCTGTCAGTTGAGGAACATCCAGCAAAAAATGGAAAGGGTCTGTGTCATGTTTGAGTCTTGCTACATGCAAAACTATGTGATGTGTGTGAGGAAACAACACTTCTTCAATAATTTTACATGCCAGGAATTAAAACAGAAAGTCCGAAAGGAGAGATACAGTTGTTGTTCCTGTAATAAAGAACCTTACACCAGATCCTAAATGGTGATTCCCTGAGTAGGGACAGAGGAAGATTCTTCAGGTTTATGGCCTTGGATGCCTGTGGGATCTAATGCATAATTTAAGACACAGATCCCTCAAATGTGGAGTGGTACATGCTGCCTCTGAGCTGCAGGTGATGACTTGCAAACAAGGTATGTGTGCAACCAAAATGCAGTTCTGACATACTGAATTTTTATTTCCTGCTCAATTGCTGGCTGGTCTAGATTACTGAAAGTAAATGTTTCTCACAAAATAAGGTCAAAAATCTGCTGAGGTCAATAGCCTACAGTTATGACTTCCTTACTAAATTTCAGTCTGTGCTGCTTTGAAGGGCAGACTCTATTTATATATATCATAACTTCAGCTGAAAATTAAATTCAAAACCCTCAACACAAAAAGATATGGCAAGCAGAACTAAAAGTGGATGATCTGATTTCCTTGACAGCTTCTGCATCCTATTAGTTACTGACAAAGACCCCACTGTTTCAGCATGTAAGTAGTTCTCTGCATCACTATTTGTCAATATTTTTCTTTTTGTAGAGTTTTTATCTGTGAAAGGGACTTTCCTGCATCTTACACTTATTTTCCATTACTAGGGAGATGCATTGTTGCTGTCAAGTAGAAAAGCTGTACTCAGTCATCATACCCTTAATGATAGCTGTCCTAGTGTCTTGGATTGTTTTTTAGATGCCTCTGCCCCTGTTTAAGACTTCAGTACATCTGAAGATATATGTAGAGATTTTGGGGGGTTTACGGTGTTCACGATAAGACTTAGTTCAGTCAACCAAGGTCTGAATTCTCCCAATAACCTTTAATTTCATGTGGAAAAGCTCATCTTCTGTTTATCTTCATTGGGATTTCCCATGTGATTTTGGTACCGTATTGTACTAAAGTTACATACTTAGATCCTTCTGCATCCCAGTCCGTAAAATCCTTTGTAACACCACCTAAGAATGTGTTTGTGTTCTCATCAGAAAATGAGTGATACGTACACTGCATTTCCTACCACTGCAGAGGGGTTTTGAGCTCAGCTGCACATAACATTTACTTGTTCTGCATTTGGGCTTTCTGAGTGATGTTATTCATCACAACATACATCCCTGTTTGCTCACACAGTGAGTGCTGTACTTTGTAGTTCAACTCTCAGAATAACTTCTGGTGTACTTGTTAGCTGAAATAACATAGCCATAATTACTTCAGTAATAATTCTGCTAATGATTCACAGTAACATGGATTATGTTTTTAAAAAAAGCATAATAATGATTTCAGCTGCCATCTACTTTCTTGCAAATACAAGAATCATTTTGTGATGTGGTCTGTATGGGTTTAGTTACTTAAGATGATTGTTACATTCCCACATGCCCACAGGAATAAACTGGAGTCCGTTAAGTTTCTGAGATTGCTTAATAATTTAGTGTTTCAATTTTCTGTATTTCAGCCCCTGATGTGTGATAATATGTGGAGTTACTTCACTTTTCTTTTCAAAGGCAGTGCAGAAAATACATTTTCTTCTTATTTTTTACAGCTGGCACTGTATGTGCTGTCATTCCTGGAACCCAGGGACCTTCTGCAGGCAGCCCAGACATGTCGTTACTGGAGAATTCTGGCTGAAGATAATCTTCTCTGGAGAGAGAAATGCAAAGAGGAGGGTAAGGCTGAGCAAAAAGATGGATATAATGGTCGAAGTGTTGCTATCATAAAAAGTGCAGTTAATTTACATAATAAACTTAAAGTTTTGCGAAGGCAATTCGTGTGACTTTAGATTTAGTGCTAGTTATGCTTTTAGCTACATGGTTTGTATCTCTGTTAAAGTAGGAAGCAGAAATAATCCATGGAGTGCTAGAAATGAAACTAGAGTTTAAGTTTGAATGCCCTATTTATACCAGTTGTACATTTTTAGAAAACCATTGGGTTTGCTTTTTAAGGGTTATTATACAACCAAAGTAAATGAGAGCTGAGATGTAAAAATGACAAAGTATAGTCTTGCGGTTTGTGACACGGAGGAAAAACTGTTTGGTCAGTAGAAGGGCTGCTGTAATTTCACGTCACTTGTAGGAAAATTAACACAGAAGTGGCACATGGTAGTGAGAGAAGTTGCTAACAGGATTGCTTAGAGAGGGACACACAACCCATTAGGAACACAGATATTATCCTGCTCGTGTCAAATCAAGAAGATAAGGTGGTTCAGCAGTAATATGAATGGGGGTAAAAAAAGACTCCCAGGAAAGTAGCCATGTATTTGTGCACATGAAGAATGTGCACAAAGCTTTTATTTTTAAAGAGCATTATATGAACGAGGAGTTTGTTCTGGGGGGCAGAGCACATGCATGTGATCACTCTTAGACACAGGCAAACACAGGGCCATGTCCAGACTGTATGGAGACAAGGACTTGTGAGAGGTCAATGCAAAGGCTTCAAAAGACATGACAATGTCATCTTAGCTGCCTTTTTGTAAGGGCGCCTAAATTAATTTGTTTTCTTTTGCAATGGGTTTCTAACCTCTTAAATCTCCTCTAAAGATTCTCCTCTTAAAAACTTAAGTGAAAATGCATTAAGAGGACAGAATGAAAAAAAAAGAGAAGGTTGAGAAAGGAACGAGCCTACATTTGTGAGCTTACGAGTAAGACTAAATACATCCAGGCACAAGAGCGGAGACAAACAGGCCAGTATTGCAGCCTGGTTGGCCTCTGAACTGCTCAGTAATGTGAGAGAAACGTTAATTCAAGACTTGCAGGCAGAGACACCAGAGACAAGGCTAAAGGCAGAGGAGTGAAATCCACATATTGGCAAGAGACAAGACTCCTGCCAGTAATGAGATGCAGTGGAGAGAGGAGCTGCATAGAAAAAAGTGCAGGGTGAGAGAATTGTAAAAAAAGCTGTATCTGTAGTAGCAGGGCTAAAACAAAGCACTACTGCTCAAGTGTCAACTCAGAAAGGGCATAGCTATACTTAAATTCCAGCCAGGAGAGGACAATGACAAAAGCAGTCATCCTTTCAAATCAAGAAAGTAATTAACAGCTCACTAATACAAGGAGTCACAGTGAACTTAAAGGCAATGAAGATGGGTGGCCATAGTGGAGAACCACGGACAGAAAGGTTTAATTCTTGAACTGTTCCAAAATAAGCATATGAGTGGTTATGGAGCTTTTTGGACAATACTCATTTGTAGAAGGCAATATTCTGCTGCATTGCCTTGGAAAGGGGGATCCAAAACCAAGCTAGTAGGTTGCCAGCAAGGAATGATGAATTAGAGCATTTTCAGCCAAGATTATGGTAATGATTATGTTGAACCAACAAGGACAGATGCAGAATAACTTGCTGAGAAGCAGGGCAGTATCCCTGACATACAAAGAGTGCCATGCAGGAGGTTCTTACGTCTCTGCTGAATTTAATGTCAGGGGTCGCTGTAAAGGTTTGGGAGGAAATGTGTATTTTGTGGGGTAAGCTCATCTCTTCCCCTCCCCACCCTTTTTTCTAAATCCGTTTTAGGTATTGATGAACCATTACATATTAAAAGGAGGAAAGTAATAAAACCAGGCTTTATACACAGTCCATGGAAAAGCGCCTACATTAGACAACACAGGATTGATACCAACTGGCGGCGAGGAGAACTTAAATCGCCTAAGGTGAGGTTCTGAGCTCTGTGCACGGTGCCGTGAACAAAGCAGGATCAACTTGTACATTGGTTTTTTTCCTTTGGACAAACCAGACTGTCCATGCACAAAAAGCAGTGTATTGCTACAGAAACAAATAATTTGTATTTTAGCTTACCTTGGGTTTAAATTATATTCTGAGCACCATATTGGCAAATCGAAGTGTTATTCTTCAATACAGCAGAATTCTTTCACTACAGAAATTTCTGTACCATTTTATGAATTCCTATAAATATGCCAGTCTCTTTGAGACAGATAATCTCAGGTAGAGCTGGGCCATGTTGCAACATAAAAATACTCTGCAACTATTCTGTGATTAATTCATGCTTTATTTAAAATGTATTCTTCTAAATTGAGCAGCACATAAAATAGCAACTGTCTAATCAAACCTGGTATTGAACAAGCAGTCAGAAATATGAATAAGACCCATATTCATGGCCTTTTAAGGTTTTAAGGCAATTTACCTCCTTTCTTAATTACTGTACAACAAAATAATAAAACTAAGAACAAGATAATTCCCATGGAAAACCTATGGCTGCATCCTGCTGTTTATTTGGCCGTGACTTATGTACATCTCTGGCAACGGTTCTGTATTTCTTGCTTTGATATGCCACATCAAGTTATCTTGGAATTATTATTAAAATTACAGCCTCTGGCATTATCCAAATGCCATTTCATTTCAATGAACATATTGAAAAAATGCTCAGATTACTTAAATAAAAAATTCTTCATCCTATGTATTCTGATAAGGATTGGTTTTCCTGTATTGTGATAAAAGATACAGAATTTTTCCAAAATCAAGTATTGAAAATCCCGCCTCTATAAAGCAACATTCCAATCCACATTTCCAACACATTAAATTGTTGCTTTTGTTTGTATTTAATTGAGTTAATGTTTTTCTAGTTTTTTACTTTGGTGCTGCCTGGCATTTAACACAATACAATGCTTGGCTGGTAAGGGAAAAAATAGATGTAGTCAGCCTTGACCACTGAAATACAAATACTCAGCAAATAATACAGGCCCATCCTTTTTTTTTCAAGATTGAAACAAAAGGTAACAGTAACTCAGCTGAAAAATAAAGAGATGGAATAACTGTGGAGGAATCGAGCAATGTTCAGTTACTAATTCAGGCTACTTTTGTTAGGGATTTTTCCTGGTAATTTTAGGAGGTTTACCATAGCTGTAGTGTGCTTGCTAAGCAATGCAGCATCACTCCATGGAAGGAGGAAAACACCTTCTTTGGTCCCAGCTGGCGGTAAATTAGACTTGACACATGGGATTAAGGGGCCTTATTATTACTGAAGCAACTCTAGCATTTTGCAATTTACGAATCAGAGGAGCATTTTGTTTCTTCTGCTTCTCTGTAATCTGCTGCATTAAATTGTGACTGTACGTTTTCATGTTCTTCATTGTCAGGTGCTCAAAGGGCACGATGACCACGTGATCACGTGCCTGCAGTTCTGTGGGAACCGGATAGTGAGCGGCTCTGATGACAACACACTCAAAGTGTGGTCAGCGGTTACAGGCAAGGTAATTTGGCAGCTTTGCTGAATTCTTGAGGAAATGAACTACAGGTAGAGCACTGGCACATCAAAAATGCTGCTGTGCCATTAGACCACTTCGCAGGGTGGCCTTTAGCGCCGTCTGGGGCAAGAATCAGAAGTAGTAAACATGTGGGTCACCTTTTCCCACACAGAAACTTGTCTAGTTCAAAAAAGTCACCTTGATGTGAAATTGCAATGCTGCTCATGTTACCACTGGCATATATCCACATTCTCTTGGCAATTCTGCTATTCTTGTGGAGTCATTTGTGACATGGATTTTAAAGAATTTGGACAGATACATTACTTTTTCTTCCTTAAAGCTTAATTTAGGCTGCATTTACCCTTCTGGATCCCCCTTTCTCACTTGTCTTCTAGCATTCTTTCTGTTGTTTTCAAGTTCTTGAAATGTGGTGTTTGTTTTACTGGTTCTGATTTCAAATAAAGAGTTTGTTTTTAATTCTAAGCTACTATATTGCTGAGCCACAAAAAAAAATAAATTAACTTGCTTTAGGTTTAAATATTTCCTATTAAATTAGATCCAGATCAGTCAGGAATTTAATAAGCTTCGATAATTTAATTTTGGCTTAGAGAAACAAACCAGTATGTGCAATCAAAAAGACAGTACTGAACATTTCACTCACATTAGAACATCATGGCTGCTCAGCCCACGGGTTTTTTGTTTTGAGGTGACTGACTGACCATGCTCCAGGGATGTAGAAAAGGCCTTGGAAAACCAGAATGTTTTCCTTCTAGACTGGTATTGTGTGTACTTAGCCTCCTTTTAATGGTACAGGTAACAACAGGGCAACTATTGAGAATAACATGTTTAAATGTAAAAGGTATCCACTTCATAATGTTGAAGCTGAGTGTATTAAACATTTGTCATTGCACGCCCAGAAGATCCTTGAAGGGATTGTTAATACTACTGTGGGTAAGAATAAAATTAAGAGCCATAGGCAGCCTCACCCTGCTGCTGTTGGCTTCTCTACAACAAACTGTCTAATGAAGGATCTCATAAAGAAATTTACATTTTTTTTTAATTGAAAAGGGCAACTTAAACACAATGAAAAATACTTTCTTTGTACATATCATACTCCCAAAAGCAAAATGTTCCTTTAAATATATAAAATTGAGCACAGTAGCATGACTTAACAATTATTATTCAGTAATTTTTTGAAAGTAATTACAAAACCTAGTGTGACTATTTACTTTAAACCTTTAAGAGAGCCAGGAATTGTGTATGAAAAATGGAAACATGCTGTAGCAGCCCTCCTGCTTACTGATGCTGAAGAATTAATAAAATAAAAAAACCCTAAAGGTTGGTTTGTGCAAATGAACATGACTAAATAATTCCCTTGACAGATGTAAAGCCCAAAATAAGGATTCTGTGTTTCTTACTGCTTTAGCAGGATGATTTCTTAAAATATGAGCACATTGGCTGAAATAAGAAAAAAAGAACTGTAAAAGTGACTAACAGCTATGAACTGAAAAAGATGGATCTGATAGCAGTGAATTAAGCAAGGAGCCAGGAATTGCAGAAGACTGTTTAAAAATTGTTAAAGAACAGGAAATCTATGTACAGCAAAAAAGCAAGGCATTTACAAGGATGCTTGAGGATATTAACAGAAAGAAAGAACAGGATATTAACAATAGGAATTAGTATACTGTCATTGATACAGAAAAAATAGTTACTTTGGGAGAAAATTCATGTGATGGAAATACAGCATGCAGTGATAATAGAATATTTCAGCAGAAACTCACAAGGATGTTAAACAACTACCAAAGTTATGGTTTTTCTTATTACGGTTGAGCCAGATAATCTATGTTTGATGATTTTTTTTTTCCTAAAGTAACCTGTGGGGTAAAATTAGCACTTTTTCGAAAGGTATGAGGACAAGAAGATCCAGGACAGGACAGTTAGAAAGCTAAAATGTGTAAATGTTTACATGGAGTAAACTGAAAGACTGGGTATTTAGGATACATTATCTCAGATAAAAAATATTGGACTACATCAAGAGGAGTCAACTAACAGTTAAAGGAAGGCCATGGCAATTAATGCCACTTAGCATTAGATTACAGAAAAAGATATCCTCAAACTGCCTTGACCTCTTTTCTTGTGCAGTTAGGGGTTTGACTGATAAAAATAATAGTGCAGAAGTAGATGGCTGTGTGCACTGCAAGACTCTATCCCCACGACAAAACTGAAGAAAATAGAATAATGCAAAAATCAACATGGCACATATTTAAATGGGTTAGAAAGTGGGTAATTATAGAGATCATGTTGTTAAAGTAAATGCAGAATCTTCATGAAGTATCTTTCTAGAGGAGTCTTGCATGGATCTTTCCTGTCTGTGCTAATTACCATTTATTGCTGCCTGGTGAGAAAGTGTATGTAGTCATTATTTGTAAGGCAAACAGGCTGAGAGACAGAGACAAGTCATTGTTCTGGGAGGACGGGGGTTTTATAGAAGTAGGTGTGAGCAAACAGTCTGTACATGGTGAGAAATCATGTCATACATTTGGGATCAAAGAAGGTAGGCTGTGCTTATGTAGTGTGGGATCCTCTCCTGGGCAACAGTAAAGTCTGAAAAAGGTTTGAAACATGAATTTTTTTGCAGGATTGATGCTGTAGCTAAGGCTTACAGAGTGGGATGTCTCTTGGATAAACAAACAGAAAAATACAACAAAAGTATATTGTTTATAGATTGGTGGTAAAACTACCAAGTGAATGCTCTCTCCCCTTCTAACACACTTCAAAAAGCTATTGGAAATCCTGCAGTGACTCAGAAAAATGCCAGGAAAACAACTCAAGGCTGCAAAACATGTCCTTGTATTGAGAAATTTGGAAATATGGTTTAGTTTGTCAAGGGGAAGATTACAGGGGAAATTCCTTATAGTTGAAGTACCAACAATTGAGAGACAAATTTGATGAATATTTTGTAAAAGTGAAATTTTATTTTTTTTTTGTTCAATCAGAAAGCAGTCTCCAGGAGTATTCTGGTTCTTACTATGAAAGCCAACTGTTACTTGCAAGATTGCTTTTTCTTAAAGTTCCAATTCAACTCTGTCAAAAAGGTAAACTAAGGAAAATGTTTCTTTTCAGTGTTTGAGAACACTGGTTGGGCACACAGGTGGAGTCTGGTCATCACAAATGAGGGACAATATCATCATCAGTGGATCTACAGACAGAACGTTGAAGGTTTGGAACGCTGAGACTGGAGAATGCATACACACCTTGTACGGGCACACCTCCACCGTGCGTTGCATGCATCTCCATGAGAAAAGGTACGGATTTGTCCAGACGTACAGCCACGGCTTCGCCCGTAACTTACACACTTGTTTGCACAGAAAATGCTTGTTAAACTTGGGTACCTCATCCAACATGAAGTGAAACACAAACCAGGCGAAACATAAATCAACATAAGGGAGGAGATGATTCATAGAAGCAAAAGCATAAGAATACTAAATGAAGAACTGAAAATTGAGTCATGTACTTCAAAAAGTCACATTTTGCGTTATTTCAAAGCTAATTCTTTGTTAAACTGTGATCCAGTCTCCCACACTGAGTAATTTCTCCTTTTGTCAGTGCTACAAACTTTTACTCATTTTAAACAAATTACTTTCTAAGTATTGTCACTGCAGTATTTTATTTGAATTTTAACTGATTATAACAGAATTTTTTAATAGTAAATCACGTCTTGATTCAACAAAATTTGCAAAGCTCTGTTACTTGACTGTGGTATGGAGCTGTTGACAGAGAGTTTGTTGGTTGCATTTCTTTTTTGAAGAACGATGAGGTTTTTCCATTATAAATTCTATTAATATTTATTCCTTCTCATTTCTGTTCCTGCCTAAAAAAGCTTTTAATAGTATAAATTGAAAAAAAAAAAAGTCAAGCAGAATAACTGTTACTCTATTAAAAGTAAAACTTCTAAAGATCTTTATTTAATTGTTACAATTAGTTAACTCAGTCATTAAAACAGAAGGCTCATAGCACTGGCTGGAGTTTAGCATGTTCATAAGCTTTCATAGGTAGATACAACAGTCCAGAGCATTATGGCATCATTTTGCTGTTCAGGAATGAAGTGCCTTTTTAAATACTGATTGCTAATTATATCAAAAAGACATATCCTGAGGAGGTAAGTAGAGCAAGGAAGAAGAACACTCGAGTCATTTGAGACCCTAATAAAATGTCACGCCAAGCCTGATCTTCAATGGCTGGTGGACTAATGCTATCTGATGTCCCAAATTACAACTCATAACTGATGTATACCCAAGTTTAGTTGTTTTAATACTTTTATGTCCAATGCTAAGTACAGGAGGGGTTTTTCTTGTTCCTCCAGAGTGGTCAGTGGGTCTCGAGATGCTACGCTGAGAGTTTGGGACATAGAGACGGGCCAGTGTTTACACGTTCTGATGGGCCACGTAGCTGCAGTTCGGTGCGTTCAATATGATGGCAGAAGGGTTGTAAGTGGTGCATATGATTTTATGGTCAAAGTGTGGGATCCAGAGACAGAGACCTGTCTGCACACACTGCAAGGGCATACTAACAGAGTCTACTCGTTACAGGTATGTGATTTTCATCTGCTGCCTTAGTTTCCTTAAGTAACATTTAAAGTCAGTTTATTTCACCTTGTTTATTAAATTGTGGGTACTCCTCCAGAATTATACAGACCACAGGAATATAGAGGCATCTGTGATAAGCCCCTCTTTCATTTTATTACACTATCTTAATTTAGAAATTGAGATGTTTTAGAGTAGAATTTTTTTTAAAGGATCCAGTACAATAAAGCCCAAATCCTTATATCACCGAGTTATGTTGTTTTGTGGGTAGATGGGTTGTTTGGTTGGGATTTTTTTTAAATCTTGCATGTATTATGGAGCTGTGTTTTTGCTTTACCCAAGAAATTCTAAACTTACTGCCTTAAATAAATAAAGGATATAGTTATTGACAATGTGCCAAAAAAAAAGCATTGTATTAATGTTCTGAGTCATCTGTTTATCTTCATTTTCTAGTCCCATCTTCCAGTTCCAAACTATAATTCACAGTAAGGCTGAACCTAAGATTTTAATGATCCTATGTAATAATCCAGCCTTCTACTTCCTCTTTTCTGAGTAGAGGCAGATGTACAGCTGTGAGGCTTTTTCAACAGAAACACATTAATGTAGGTGCAGGTTATTATGGTGCTACTTTGTGGCATCTCTCTATTGCCTACCAGTTACCCACAAAGCTGGCAAAGATACACACAGACCTCATGTCTCAGGTCTTCTTACCTTTACTAACCAAAAAAAAATCTTATTCATTCATAGAGTCAAAGCATCACTTCCAGGCATTGAGAGGCGAAAGAAATTAATTTCATGCTTGTGCCTGTTCTCACCACAATCTGGCAGGACTTGAAAAAGAAATTAACAAAGACAGTTCAAAATTGGGAAATGGCATTCAGCATGTAACTGCTCTGGTTTGTGGCTCAGAAAATGAAGCTCAGTGCTAGAGACATTTTTCATAAAGTGTGTATTTCATAACATGTATCTCACCATAATATATTAAATACGAACAAAGTACCTAATTGGTTTCCTTTCTCAAAAATATGTAGCAAAATTTATCAAAATCTCCAGCCATTCTCTTACATTGATATGATGAGGAGTATTCTCTAGACAAGCAGCAAACAAGTTAAAAATGCTGTGCTACCTACCTATCTCTCAAAAATATTCTGAAGATTCTATTTCATATAGGGCAGTTTGGGAACAGTGGATGTTATTCTGCCTTATCTTCACCAGTGACTCTTGTTTTGGCTTATGAATATTCATGTCTTGCTCTGATACTGTAGTAATAATGGATCAAATAATTGGGTTGTGTTACACACCGATATGTTCTGAAAATAATGGGAGGGGGGTGAGGGAGGTGCTTGCAGTTTTGAACAGAAAGATTCTTTAAAATTGCCTGGTGGCTCCTGCCCTTTGGCCTGAAATTGCCCCAAATGGTAGAACTCCCATAAATAAAATAATCAGGTGGAATAAGCCAGTCGTCCCTATCCCTGCTCCATGGCAGGTTCTATACCTCGATATTTCCCCATTTGTAGACATAATATTTTCCAGAGATCCTTATGTGTCAGTTGAAGACTACTGAAGGTGTTGACTTTTCTTTCTCTTTCTATCTGTCTTTAAAGTGATCCACTGAGATTACTTTAAGATTCTGAGGGTTCATGGGTAGCAGTTGATCCAAACCATTGTTTCACTGTAACAACATCAGTTTGTCTTGATGCCCAGCCTTATAGCTCTCTTTCTGAATACCTTATGTACATGGAATGCAATTAGTTTGTGGGAAAGGGGAAATGAATTCAAAATTTGTTACATCAATCTGGTTTAGTTCTTTTTAGGAAAGAAAAACATTCTGTAGCATTTCCACCCAAGTCTGCTAGGCTACTTGGCACTCCTCATCTTTTTATCTAAACTCAAATTAGTTCACATCCTCTTTTGAAAACAGTGAGCCCAAAACAGAGTCCAGTCAAAGTCTTATCAGTGCTTACTGGAAGTGAAAAGTTATTTTATATGCGTTACATTCAAATACCAGAGGGTCTTTTTTAGTATATTTTCACCAGAAATGCAGTGCATACAGCAGATAAGCAGTCTGTATGTGCCAGTTGCTCTCTATGTTCTTTTGAACCTAGGTGCCATGCTCAGCCATGTTTGGCTGTAAAGATCTACCATATTAGTTTTCTGCAGGTTTTATAAAAGGAAGCAGCTTCAGATAGTCAAGTTCCCTTAACTGGATTCGTTCTTTGCGATTATCAGGTACCAGTGAGTCCACATGGACAAGTAGCGTCATATTGCCTTAAACATAACAAACACTCATGCCCAACCTTCCTTCTCCCAAGTTGCAGCTGTACCTTCATTCATTCCCCTCCAAACTCAGATCTTCACAGTTTTTACTTGACTTCTATACTCTTTGCTTTGGGTCAGTTCTGCTGTTTCAAATGTCACCCAAATCCTGATGAAAATAGTAAATGCCAGACCTCTCTGGAACTCTTTTCTGATATCTCCAATAGTACTGTGAACAAAGTTCTGAATGGCATAGTATCCCGGCCTCAGATTTGCCTCCCTCTTTGTGAAAATACAACCAAGACATTTGCTGTTTCCCATGGCTTTTTATTCTGTCAAAGAAAAAAAACATATTGGTTAAGATCATTTTCCCACAAATCTGTGTTTGCTGCTACTTACTGCATTACTAAGGGCTTACAAGTTACTTGTGGAAATTGAAGTTAGGCTGATTGATCCGTAATTCCCCATCTCCCATCATCATCTCCTTCAGTAAAGAAAGGAATTGTATTTGCCATCTGAAGCTTGTCTGTCTTCCATGGATTCTCAAAGATAGCAGCAGATGTCTCTGAGATTGTCTTAAAACAACTTGCCTTATGTGATTTTTTTTCCCCCCCATTCTAGCAAAAGCTTGTGCTCAGTTGTTAGTGGTGTTAGTGCTGTAAGCCTACACTCAGATGGCTGAGGACTGAAGCAAAGAAAGTTAAATAGCTGGCCTCACTTGGTGTTTCCTTCCTGCTGTGGATAAATGAGCTTTTTCTTTTGTTTGTTTGTATGTTTGTTTTTTGGCCTTCCTCTTGGTGTGGTTTTTTGGCTTTGTTTTTGGGGGTTTTTTTGGTTGGGTTTTTTTTTTACAGAATAGTATAATGGATCTTGCTAGTTTTATCTTGGTTTGTGCCCTGCCTTTCTGGTTTTGTCCCAGTGGGCTCTTTTATACAGATCGACTGATCTAGTTTCTACTTTTTGTACAATTCCTTGTGCTTTAGCCAAGTGGGTCTTGGTAATTTACTACACTTCCTATCTTTACTTCACACAAGGATAGTTTGTGTCTTTAAGAAAGTGCCAACTATCCTGAACTCTTCTTCACCTCAGAGAATAGATATATAAAAACCTCATGGGAAGGAAGTCTCTTTTTTTTTAAAGTATTCCTCCTTGAAGCCCACCGGTTTTATTCTACTGCTTTTTTTCCTTTTTTGAGAATTCTGGACTCTTATGTCATTGCCACTATAATTCAGGTTCCTTTCTACCTTTCTATTCTCTACATGTTCAGTCCTCTTGGTCAAAAGTGTTTCATATCTTAGCCTGTATGCCTTTCCCTACAATGACTAGAGAGTTAAAAGTTCCTTACTGTACACAATTAGGATTATACAATGGCTAAACCCCACATTTTTTCATAACATACCTTCCATTTTTCTATGTTTTGACTTCTGTGTGGATGATTCTGGACTAATGTTGTTGCCCTTCTCCAGCTTAAACTCCCTCTGACTTGTAAAAAGCAGGGTTGCTTGTTAATGTCTGTATTGGGAAAGCTGGGTTCTCTTACTGTTGCACACTGTTACTGTTGCACACTGCAGGGGAGTCAGGATTCTGCTGTGTTTAAAGGAGTTGTATTACATTTAAAAGACCAGTGCTTCAGAGTCTCGTTTTGAACCACATACTTGATAGCCCATATGTCTAACCATGAGTCCCCTCCTCTGGTATCAAATGTGGCCATCTCTACTTGGACTGAATTCTTACTTTGTAATGCAGTTTCCAAATATATACCCTATCTCACCTTGCATTTAGTGAATGAAATGCTTAATAGCCTTCTTCGTAAGATCCTAATATAATTGTTTGTAATAGATTTACCTTTCTTGTAGTTTGATGGTATCCATGTGGTGAGTGGATCTCTTGACACTTCCATCCGAGTTTGGGATGTGGAGACAGGCAACTGCATTCACACTCTAACAGGCCACCAGTCACTCACAAGTGGAATGGAACTCAAGGACAATATACTTGTGTCTGGGAATGCCGATTCTACGGTCAAAATCTGGGACATTAAAACAGGACAATGTTTACAGACATTGCAAGGTAAGCTTAAACTACCCTCATGTAAATCAAGCAGCCTGCAGTAATCTGTGCTGCAGATTCTAATAAAAAAACCTTAAAAATAATTACATGCAAAGAAACAAGCACTGACCACTTAAAACTGAAATACTTTTCTGATGACAGAACAAAATGTATTTGATCTAATCTATTCAAATCACTTGCCTATTATGAAAGGCAGATGGTCTGGACTGATAGCAATTTGCTATGGGTATATTAGCCTAATAAGCCACAGAAATATGTAGGAAATTACATCTCAAAATAGTCAGTCAATGTATTTATTTAGGGGTCACTTGGATGTTTCAAAGCCTACTGATTAATTGGATCGGGAGGCAAAGTACACTGTCTGTTGCAATAAATCAGGAGATGCAAGTGGAAGATGTTTTCTTTATTTCAGTAAGAAGAAAGATTCTTGTTTCCATTTTGACATTTGCCACTTAGGCATCGTGCACACAAACTCATGGTTTTGTTTCTCCCCACAAAAAAGGTCTTATATCATTCCCATATATCATATGCAGCATCACTGGCTGGAGCAGAAAATTAAATTTCCCTATAAAACAAACTCTGCTGTTTTAACAGTATCTATTTATGTGTCAGTATATAACTGTCAATATTTACTGATGGAGTAACCTCATAACAACACTTCAAAGGGACTTGGAGATGAACTCTTACAGCAGTCACCTCATTCAAGATGGCTAAGTTCATATTCATCAGTGTCCAAGAGCACATTTGCAGTACTGTTTGTATACAACACAGTGAGGTCACTGAAACAAAGAAGGAAATACTGGGGAAGTTTTCTATACCTGCCTTCACTTTTTGAAAGTATGGAAAGGCTTCTGTACCTTTTAATGTACAAAATCAGGAGTTATAATAGATAGTTCTATAATAGTTGTAAAAGAACTATATGCAAATAGCTAGATATTTATTCTAGATGCAGTGCTGCCTGCCATTGCTTTCTAATTAATTACAAATAAAAATGTTTTTGTTTACTATTACAGGTCCCAACAAGCATCAGAGTGCTGTGACCTGTTTACAGTTCAACAAGAACTTTGTAATTACCAGCTCAGATGATGGAACTGTAAAACTTTGGGACTTGAAAACGGGTGAATTTATCCGAAATCTAGTCACATTGGAGAGTGGGGGAAGTGGAGGCGTCGTGTGGCGAATCAGAGCTTCTAACACAAAGCTGGTGTGTGCGGTTGGGAGCCGCAATGGGACTGAAGAAACAAAGCTGCTGGTGTTGGACTTTGACGTCGATATGAAGTGAAGGGCAGAAAGATGAATTTGTCCAAACGTGTAGACGATGTTCTCCTTTCCCTCCCCCCTGAAAAAAAAAAAGAAAAAAGAAAAAAAAGAAAAAGGAAAAAATCCCTTGTCCTTGGTGGTGCAGGATGTTGCCTTGGGGCAACAGATCCTAAAGACCTACAGACTACGAAGGAGAAGACAAAGATGACAAACTATAACTGACAAGAGAGGCTTTTGCTGTCTCGTCACATAAAAAGGCTACACTTTTGACCGGGGCAGCTTTGCAAAAATCCAACTTTTGAAATGAAACCAGGTGCAATTAATTTCTTTACTTTCCTCCAACTGCTCCTTGAGCAATTTGGAGTGAAAAAGAAAAATGTTACAGTTCTTGTTAACAAGTTATTTTACCACAAAGATCTTGAAATAAGCTGCACGGGCGAGCCTGCTCGTGCACCCCTGGGCCACCCTGGGTCCCGGCAGCCCCTCCGAGCAACGCGCTGTCCCTTAGCCCCGCTCTGAGCAGGGGGTTGAACTGGACCTCCAAGGTCCCTTCCAACCTCTGTGAGCAGTCACTGGTTGACTTTCAAAAACTAGAGAGCATCTGCAGTGAAAAAGACAAACAAAAACAAAAACAAAGAGTCCATTCCTGGTGTGGAAAAGCTAAAATATTACTGTGAATTGTTTTGTACAGTTTTATCAGAGCTTTTTCTTTTTTTTCTTTTATTCCTCTTTTTTTTTGCCAACCATTGCCAATGTCAATCACAGTATTAGCCTCTGTTTAATCTATTTACTGTTGCTTCCATCTACACTCTTCAACGCATAAGTTGCTCTGAGGTGGCAAGTTGTCCTGGGTTTTGAGAGTCCTCTGATGGATTTAATTCGCAATGCTGGTGCTAGAAGTAGGTCTTCAATTACGGGATTGTTGTCCCACCCCTGTACTGTATTCCCAGTGGCCAAACTTATTTATGCTGCTAAATGAAAGAAAGAAAAGCAAATTATTTTTTTTTATTTTTTTTTCTGCTGTGACGTTTTAGTCCCAGACTGAATTCCAAATTTGCTCTAGTTTGGTTACAGAAAAAGACTTTTTGCCACTGAAACTTGAGCCAACTGTGCCTCTAAGAGGCTGAGAGTGGAAGAGTTTCAGACAATTAAGAGTGAAGTTTGCCTGCAAATAAAGAATTGAGTGTGTGTGCAAAGCTTATTTTCTTTTTTCTGGGCAAAAATTAAAACACATTCCTTGGAACAAAGCTATTGCAGCCTGTTCTGTGGGGAAATTTTTCTTTGTGAGGGCTGTGGTGAATGGAATGAACATACATTAAAAAAACTGACAAAATTTTTTAAAAATATTATAAAATACAAAAATTAAAATAAAGTTGCTGGTCAGTCTTAGTGTTTTACAGTATTTGAGAAAAAAACAACTGTTACAGTTATTGCTGGGAGGAACTGACAGAGCAAAAACTTACGTTTTTGTAAAGATGTCACATGCAAACAAAATGAGAAACGAGAGTCAAATGGTTTGCCTCATTCTCCAAGAGCCACAACTCAAGCTGAACTGTGAAAGTGGTTTAACACTGTATCCTAGGCGATCTTTTTTCCTCCTTTTTTGTTTTTGTTTTTGTTTTATTTATAGTCTGATTTAAAACAATCAGATTCCAGTTGGTTAATTTTAGTTATGTAACAACCTGACATGATGGAGGAAAACAACCTTTAAAGGGATTGTGTCTATGGTTTGATTCACTTAGAAATTTTATTTTCTTATAACTTAAGTGCAATAAAATGTGTTTTTTCATGTTAGTATGTCTTTTTTTATTATTATTTTCTAGTTGTTAATTTAATATCATTAATCCTATAAAGGGTAAAGCAGGTCAAGTTGTTCAGCTTACTGATAGATGCTAAAATGTGTCACAGGACTTTTTATATAACCCTTCCACAAACAGGTGTGCAAGTGTCCTCTCCTTCAGTTGCCATATAGGATTTGTCACGTGGGTTTCCACAAACGTGCAGGAAAGACATTAGCTCCCTATCACTAAGAATGTGTCAGGACTTTACTCTGGAGGGAGTTAGCTATAAAAAGCTGCTCAAGTACGTAAAACTTCTTCCGACAGCATCTTGTTACTGCATCTTAAATTGAAACTTGATGTTTATTATTTATGGATTTCAATCAGTTGATTACATTTGACAGCAAAGAATAAATGCATAAATACAACTAAAATCAAAGTTAGGATTGTTGGAGAGCTTGAAATAAAGCTTCTGACGAGAGAGAAAAAAAAAAAAACCAACATCATTCCACATCAGTCCAACAGCAGTTTTATCAGTGCCCTGAAACCAAGGTAAGTCATCATCTGTCTCAGAAACTTAGCACTTGAGTGTCAGTTTCTCTCTCAAATCTCCTTGACCAAAATCATTGTTTTCTTCTGTGTAAGCTTTTCTGTCAGAGCACAGCATTTGCTTGTTTGTGACAGCTTTTCCCTGTGGAAAGCTGTCATTAAAGAAAACCAGACCAAAACATTAGAAAATACATAGATGGAAAAGAAAAATATTTGTATACTTACACATCTATGGCTATGTGCTATTGAAATGTAGTTCCAATCCCTACATTATGCAAAACAAGCAATGTTGAAGGATCATGCTTCCATCTGGCCTCTGGAGATTAAAAAGCCATCTGAACTGACTGAGCAGCTCGAAATTGTAAAAATCTGTTCATTGAGTTAGTGCTTAAGGAGAAAAACCTTGCAGCAAGCACTGACTATATAAAAGCTATGATTGTCTCAGTATTTAGGTAAAAACAATTAAAGAGCTAATCCTTTCCTAAAATGACAGTGAAAGATTGCCAGGACTTTGTTTTGTTCTGCTGAGAATGCAGGCCAAGACTGAGCCCCCCTGATAAGAGAAGGTGCATCAGTCTGGGCTGAAGTACTCGTGAGAGGGGATGGAAGAAGGATAAAAATATGAATATTTAATGCAGGGAACAGAGCAATAGCTTTTAAGATTATGTAATTTTCTTCCATGATTTGTAGAAATTGCAACAACGTGTTTTTAAAGAGCAAAGGCACTGGCCTGATGGTGCGGGAGAATGAGAGATTTATGAGTAATGTGCTGGAGGGCAGAATACAAATCGGGGCGGAAGAGTGAAATGACAGAAGAGGAAAACTAACAAATCCAAATCAGTTCAAGGTGTACAATCAGTTCAAGTACGCTTCAAGCAGCCAATATGACCAGGAGGAAAATGTGCTTAACCAGAATTGAGAAGTTTTCTGGTTGACAGTAGTTCCAACACTATCTTATGTTCAAATTAACACAGAATAACTTGAACTTGTTAAGCAAACTGTATTTTCAGCTTCATTCATCACAGATTTATGTTCAAAAAAATTATTGGCTGCAAAGTCAAGATATGATTGACTGTCACATTAAATACAAAAACCAACACAGTACTTAAAATACTTTTTTTAAAAGGTTTTTCCATTCAGTAAAACAACTACACAAAGTTAATTGTGTTAACACTTTAGACTTTTAATTTTGTGAAGTCTGTTTAGATTTGTAAGAGTTGCTTATGAGCTATCTGAACAACATGGCTCAGTAAGCAGAAATTTCTTCATTTAAGTGACAGCATTTTAAAGATAGGCCTGTAGTAAACATGCCATGTGTAAGAAACTCTTTGAGCACCTTTTCGTTACAGTCTCCTTATTACCCCCGTTTTGCTGATGTACTCACCATAACACAGTTCACTTAGAATGAGGTCTTCAGTTCGGCAGCACGTGCTCCAACTGAGACTTTAGGAAGCATCTTCATTCTGTGTAATAAATGTTGATTTTAAGGTGGGTGGAGTGTTTTGGGGTTTTTTTAACAAAAGCATTTAAGAATACTAGTATAAGACTATAACAGCTTTATGTTCTCAATACACAGGCACTTCTTGAATCCAGTGGCTTAGTCATCATAGGCTATGTCAAAATACCTGCAGCTATCCTATAGAGATAATAGCACTAATGTTTCTGGTGTCTCTACCCTCTGGTTTTCATGCTGATTTCCCTTTTTCTTTTAGTTTTAGCCCCAGAAAGAGCTTTCTTATTTTCTCTTGTATCTGAAACCAAGTCAACAGCATTAACATTTTTTTTACTAGATATTAATTCTTAGTGGACCTTGATTTTAGCTAACAATAAGTCAGAATTAGTTTGCCACTTTCTCCAAAAGCCTGTTTCTGTGGTCTCAATTTACTTATTTGAGAGATAGGATTAGACATTTAACAGCTGTGTCTACATCAATTTGTAGTTCAGATCAGCAGCTTTCCCAATAGAACACACTGGTGCCTCGGAGCCCACAAACAGGATTCCTGCAGGGTGTAACTAAATCTGGAGCAGCTCTCCAGGAGCACACTCCAGGCATTCAAGCCACTAGAGGAGCACGTGAGACCAAACCAGGACTAGTCCAACACCTCAAAAATACATTCATGTGGACATTAAGTCTTCAGGACAGTTCTGCTGCTGCTGCACAGCACTAATTGCTGGTGTGGATATAACCATCAGCAAATCCTCTCCCACAGCACCCCTGGCTCCTCATTCATAATCAGCAACCAGCATCCATCCAAGCAAAATCTGCCTGATACCACTTCGGAGTTTTTGCCAGATGCCCTTTCAGCATGCTTATGTACAGGTTCTTCTGATCAGCTTATGGAATCCTGTTAAAAAGAAATACAAATCTTTCACAATCAGTCTGACCAAAGTTCTCTACCAGTAAGTCAACACTTGGATCATTCAGAAAAAGAAACCATGAAACGCTGTAACTGGGCAAAAGAACCAAATTATAATAAAATAAAAAAGAAAAACTTGCCAGTAATTACTTGTGTCACTCTGACAAACAACAGTTCATTACTTACAAGACAATATCCAAGCCATACCAACAAATAAATCTTTAATAAAAGTGGGAATACTATTTTCTTTCCATCTTCTGCCATTTTATCTATAACCTTGATCCCTCACATTGTGGAAAGATATACATGCTGTGTAATGATATTTAGCATTTTATGATGATATATGATGTTTATGATTATACGTGAAGTGTATGATCTATACAATATACACCAAGTTTTTCAAACCTCATCTAAACATGGCATATACGATTTTTCAAACACCTCTTCAAGCATCAGTGCAGGTTTATAAATACAACAGATGTTTTAACATAAAAGCTGTTCCAGATCCCTTCTGAGAGAGGGTCTGACAAACTAGGTGTCACCAAAAAGTCGGCAGCCAGTACAGGCTCTTGTTCCCTGTTCAGACTGCCAACTGGCCCAGCAGCTGCAGCAGTACTTCAGAGAAAAGAAATGGTGCATTGTGCTACCACGAGTACGAGCTGCTGAGGGGAAATGCTGCAGCACTCTGTGTGACTGCAGTCGCCTAAGAACCAATGGCTCTATGCCTATGTATACTGCATTGCTCTAGCCCAGCTGGGATATAAGAGTCCTATAAAAGCATTACTTAGCTAGGACAAAATCTCCCCAAGAACGAGAGATGAAAGAAATCATTAATCACAGCAGTTGCCAATCCAGCAGTAGTTCTAAATTACAGACTATACAAGACAACTGAGACTTGGCCAAAGGCATCTTCCAGCTCTCTTTTGTCCTCACATCTGCCTCACTTAGATCCAACTTCAACTACCTGATCCCTACTGACAAACTGATCTTGTCTGACCTTATGTGGTAGCAATAGTTTTGGTGAAAGATAAACTGAGCTTTTTGTCTTTCTTCTGCATCTCTCTGTTGCTGGAACCTACACTGTACATTTTGCCACTTTCTGCACAGGGACAGCACAACCTTTAGTCCAACACGGAGTGCTCCAACGTAGTACATAAAGATGACAAGACATCATTCACCCCAGAGCGAGAGATTCATCATCAGTGTTGCTAAAATGATTCCCAGCCTGAGTCAAGACTGAAAATAATGTTCTAGACCTCATGCAATTAGGTAAGTTTCAAGTCAACTTCAACTCCTTAGTTTTTCAGTCATGCCTACAAAATAAGCACATCCTAAGAAGCTTCACAGTTTAAGTAGGATCATGAGTCTTGTCGCCTGGAAGCTGGGAGAGATCATGGTCACAGGACAGTGGAAAAACATGGAAGGTCTATGTAAGCTGGATCAGAAATTACATATGAAATTCAGAGAAAGGCAGGGACCAAGAATTTGGGGCTTTTTCTGTTCAAGGCATCATAATTTTATGTCCTACAATAGCTACTGTGGGGTATTTCATCATTGTCATCAACAAAGCATAGGAGTAAGATTTTTAATGAAGCCGTTAGCCAGGCTGCCCTGTAATTGAGGATACAATTACCTGTTAGCTCTGACTCACATGAACTTCTCTTCCCTAGGGTAGTTGTTTGATGGGAAGATGAATGAAATGCCTCCGGACCTCCTTTCTGTCTGGTTCCTCATGTCTGAGATGCAGGGTGCTTACAGTGAGAGTAGGTTTGAGAGTGCTTTGTTCTTTTAATTTAAAACAGGAAACATGGAATGTAGAAGATTCAGAAACTTCAAAGGCAGTTTCCATTGCCAAAGGAGTTGCATTTCAACTCAAGTTCATTCTCTAGATTAAATATTCAAATCTGACAGTGTGAGAAGATGCTCACACCTTCTAGAAGACTGATGATTTCTGAGGAACAGGATTCAGATTGTGGCTGTAAATACCAGTGTGGTAAACTGAGCAGTACAACTCTTCCAAAATGGGAGTTTTATTTCGAGCTCCTCAGTTTGAAATGAATTTCTAAAAATACCACAGCTTTACAGATGCACAAAGAATATAAAACATGTT